TGGGGATTGAACTCAGACCCTTGTGCTTGCCAGGGAAGCATTTATTTTACTAAGCCATCTCCCTGGCCCCTGTGTTAGATTTGAAGATAGATTCTTTTGTATTCCCTTGACAGCTGCATCCCAGAAATTGTTTGCCTTTGACAGGAGGGTCCCTTTCCTTAAGGGGAGAAAACATAAGTGCCAGTGATGGGGACATGATGTCCCAAGGATTCAAAATTCTCCTTACTGTTCTTGAAAAAGTTTTATCAAAGAATCTGGTGCCTTTTGGTAATAACAATCCTAACTTTTCTCTCTTACAATATATAGATGATTTGTTGTTAACTAATGGAGCCCACGACCAAAAAGAGTTATGAGAGTTCCTGGAATGGTGGTTTTTTGTTGTTTTGAGGTGTCAAGTTTTGCCTCTGTTGATAAACCCTTATATGAAACCCTGAAGGGAGGTAATAGCCTCCCACTTGGATTAGAATTCAGAGCAGCAAAAGCACTTAAGGATTAAACAAGAAACTCTTACAGGCTCTGCCTCTGGCCCTACCAGACATCACTTTCAGCTGTTTGTTCATGAGAAAAAAGGAGTTGCAAGGAAAGTCTTTTTGACAGGGTGTACAGGGTCTCACTGCATAGATCGGACTTGTAGTGATCCTCCAGCTTACAGGCCCAGGGATCAAACTCCTGGCCCCTACGTCTGCCTAAGCAGGCGCTTTAATCTACTGAGCTATTTGGCCGGCCCTGCAAGGAGAGTCTCAACTCAGACCTTAGGGCCATGGAAGTGCTCTGTGGCCTATCTGTCCAAAGACTGGACTATGTGGCTACTGGGTGGCCACTGTACTTGCAGGCCACTGCAACAGCTGCTGTGTTAGTAAAGGAGGCTGACAAATTAACTCTGGGACAGAAGCTGAGCGTGTTCGTGCCCCATGCGGTGGAGACACTGCTAGGGGGCCCTGATGGAAAGTGGCTCTCTGGTACCAGGCTGGCCCAGTACCAGAAAGCCCTCCTTGAAGACTCACATCTAATTCTTAACACTATACAGGCTATTAATCCTGCATCCCTCCTTCCAATGTCTTTGGATCCCCCAGAGAAGATTGTGTGGAGACCATGAGGTTATTTATTCTGCAAGATCTGACCTGCAGGACACAATACTCCAAGACCCCAACCTCATCCTATTTGCAGATGAAAGCAATATGGTAATAGATGGGGTACAGAGGGCGGGGACAATAGCTGTAACTATAAAAAGGATAGTGTGGTCAGAAACACAGTCCCTGGGGGCTTCAGCTTAAAATAAAGAGGCCTCCTAACCGCAGGAGGAAAAGACATCAAAAACTCCCAAGCAATTCTCTTGTTACAAAAAATACAGTAGCCCTCTGCAGCGGCAGTGATAGACTGTCCTGGACATCGGAAAGGTCGAGGCAACAGGGCTGCGACCAGACAGCACGGCAAGCTGCTGTGGGGCGCTCGCTGCCAGAAGCGCATCTCATGGCGGCACCCTCCTTCAGCCACCCAAATATTCTGAGACTGAGTTATTGTGGGCCAAGCCAGAAGACACATCAAAAAAAAAAAAAATGGGTGATAAATCTTGTCAGGGAAAGAGGGTTTTTTTGTTTGTTTGTTTGTTTGTTTGTTTGTTTGTTTGTCTAAACACATGGGACATTTCGTGATTCAGAAACTACATGACAAGACCCATCTGAAAAAGACAGCAATGACCAAGCTTCCTGGCCACTATTTCTACCTCTCCAGGCTTTAGACCTTATACATCTCAGTGGCCAGCAATGTGTGACTTGTGCTAACAATAATCTAGTTTCTCGCCCACAGTGTAAACCAGGCATCTGCCAACCGGAAACCTTCCCTTTTGAGGATGTCAAAGAGGACTTCACTGAGGTCAAGTCAATGATTAAAAACAAAAGTATTTGCTGGTACTTATTTGCACCTTCTCAGGATGAGTAGAGGCCCTGCCTATCAGAACTGAGACCTCCAGAGAGGTGCTAATATTCTTTTAGAATATTTTGCTGAGTTTACACACCTATAATATTCATATAACGGAACTTAACAAAAAAGGGGATACAGATGAATGTCCATTTTGTATCTGTGTATTCAAAGTGGTTAGGATAGATATATAGTTACATTCTCTTAATGAGTAGAGGGATTTGTTCTAATGGTGTTTGTAAATAGGATATCATGTCCGCATCTTGTGCAGCAATTAACCACTAGGAAGAATGTATGTAATGTGTTAATTATTGAAACTGTCCTACCAATTTGGTTTGAAACTCTCTCATTGCTATTTGTTTCTCAATAAAATTATGGAAAAAAATAAAATAAAATCCTGTTTGGAAGACTGCCACCCTTGGTGCCAGTATTGGCAGGACTATAAAAGATTAGGACTCTGAGCCCGCAACAGCGACTGCAGGCCTTACAAAGGACTCTGGAGGGAAGAACCCTCCAGCCCAGATGGGGGGCCATATGATGTCACCCACACTGCACACCCACTTGGGTTAAAGTTACACATTACATGCAGTAGTTTCATCACTCATGAGTAACAAGTGTGTAGCCAAGGGGCTGAGGAGACGGCGCAGTGGAATAAGCACTTCTCTGGCAAGTGCAAAGGCCTGAGTTCAATGCCCGGTTCCGCCAAGAAAAGAAAAAGTGCATAGCCAAAGTACAACCAGCCCTGCCTTTCCCCAGACCCCGTACATAAAGAAAACTCTCCAATCGCCGGGAAATCTCCCTGCCGATATTACAGCTTGAGAGGTAACACCAAAACCAGTGGGGCCACTAGAGGTACTGCCTGGCCTCCCACCTTGAGTCTAAAAAGCTCACCTGCTCAGACTCCAGTACCGACTCCAGAGAGCTGGCTGACGCTGCCTGATTCAAGAGTGCTCCTCCTGGAGACACTAGGCTAAGAACGAGTCCAGCAGACCCATTGTTACAAAGATTTGATGTCATCCCCAAGCTTGATTGGCTGACAAAGGAAGTCAGCCAGGGATGTCTACTTGGATACATGACCTGATATTTGCCCTAATGGGCCTGTTCTTCTGTTTCTTTTAGGCCTAGTTGTAGATGGACCCAGAGCTGAGGCTTCTGGCAGGCTGCAGCCCATGAGCCTGTTCGATGTTCAGAGCATGCGGGGCCTGCCCCCGGGGCTGGGGAACAAGACAAGCAGGAGGGCGGTGGGAGAAGGGGTGGCCTAAGGGGGCCCAGAGCCACTGCCGGGCGCCCTGCCTCTAAAGACAGGGCCTGAGCCCGGCCCTGCACCCATGGAAGACACGATTGCGCAGTCTTTCAAGGCGTTTATTGACTCCTGGGAGGAAGAGGGACCGAATGCTCAGGCGTCCTAAGCGGGGTGCAGCCCGTGTCACAGCGGCATCAGCTTCCTACACAGACGTGACCAGAGGATTGGAGTGGGCTGGACCCGCGTCCGGGAACCCGGGACCCGGGGCCGCCCGTGGGGTCCTTACCCGATATCTGCAGCTGCACGGGGGCGCTGCGCGGCGACTCGAAGGCCACGGGCCCCCATGCGCGGTAGCGGCAGCTGTAGTTGCCTGCGTGCTCCGGCCCTGCGGCGAGCAGCACCAGGTCGGCCGATGCGCGCGCGGAGCCGACTCTCACCAGCGCGTCCTCCTCGCCCGCGCGCAGCAGCTCGAAGACCACGCCCGGCACTGGGCCCTCGCAGCGCAGCACGACGTCGCGGCCCGGTGTCACGCGCGACCCCAGGACTTGGAGTCGCGGAGCAGGCGGGGGCCCTAGTGAACGGGCAGGCGGGTTCAGCAGTGTCGCTGGGTCATCGTCCGCGCGCCTCCTGCTTCAACCCCAGACCGGCTTCCAGGGCGGGCGCGGCACAAAAGTCGAGGGTGGGGACAGAGTCACACGATGACCATGACTGACATGCGTGCAGCACGGGGAAACTGAGGCACTGGCAGGCGAAGAGCCGCCTGGGATCTGAACGGGAAAACCCGGGCCGCCGCACGCGGTGCACGAGCGCACGGTCCCGAAAGTGGAACCCAGGGCCTCGCTCGGAGCTCCGTCCCCAGCGCTTTTTTAACCTCAGTTTCCAGACGCGGTCACGCTCAGCGGCCGGGGCCAGGTCCCCGCCTACGACCCTCCCGCCGCAGCCTCCCGAAGCTTGGCGGCCTGCGGCTCACCGTCCACGCGCAGCTCCAGGCGCGCACTGGGCGCGGAGCCCACGGAGGGCTGCGCGGGGTCCGTGTAGACGCAGCTGTAGTTGGCCGAGTCCGCCACCGAGACGCTCCGCAGCTCGAGCTCGGCCTCGGCGCCAGCGGGTCGCAAGAGCGCCAGCAGCCGGCGCCCTCCAGCGTCCTCGCGCTCCAGCGCCACGTGCAGGCCGGGCCCGGGCACCGAGCAGCGCAGACGCACGTGGGAGCCGGGCACGGGGCGCGGGTCGGCGGGGTCCGCGCGCAGGTCCGGCGCCGGAAGCGAGCCTGCAGGAGCGGGGGCGGGAGCTCAGCTGCGTGCAGCTGGGCTGGAGGCCGAGGCAGGGGCTGCGGGTCCACCCCGCGCGCTCACCGTCGCTGCGCACCAGCTCCACCGGCGCGCTGCTCGCGGACCAGGCCGCGTCCGCCCCGGGCGGCCGGTAGCGACAGGTGTAGGGGCCGCCGTCGCCCTCGACCCCATCCAGCAAGAAGAAGATGCGGTCGGGACTGGTGCTGGCCATAGACACCCGCAGGGCCTCCCCGCGCCGCCACAGCTCGAAGTTCGCCTCCGGCAGGGGTGCCACGCAGCTCAGGGTCACGCGCTCGCTGGGCTGCAGGACCCTGGCGCCGTCGCCCCAGAAGTCCAGCGTGGGCGGCGGCGGCACGGCTGTGGACAGAGCTGGGATAGGAGTCTGACGGGCACCGCGCCGCCCCCGCCCCCGCCCTGCTCTGGTAGCCCTACTCACCCAACTCTTCCACCGTCACGGGGGCACTGGGCTCCGAGGGGCCCCCCGCGGCGTGCGTCCGGTAGCTGCAGCTGTAGTTGCCCGCATGGTGGACTGAGAAGATGGCCTCTCCTTCGTGCCCCGCCTCAGCCATCACAGAAGATGGGGGGTCACCTTCCCGCATCAACAAGAAGGTCACCCTGGGCCTGTCCGCGCGGCACCGCAGAGTGCAGTTCAGGCCAGGTGCGATCCAGGACACCGGCTCAGCAGACAGCCGAGGCGCAGGCAGGGGCTCTGTGAAGGGGGGTGGGGGGGTAGGAAGGGGCTGTGCACAGCTAAACCCGCACTCAGCGTGGGAGGGGACAGGAGACGAGGGTATGCTGGGCTCCACCCGACAGAAGGGAAAACAGGCATGGGCTCAACTCCATGAGCGCCCTGCTCACCTGTGCCTGACACCTCCACGAGGTCACTCAGCTGGCTCCACCCTCCACTCAGGCCTGCGCGGCAGTGGTAGAGGCCCCGGTTGTCCCTAGTCACATCTCCCAGCACAAACTGGTGGGTGATGGCAGGGATATCCACGTGCACGGGCTCCAGGGCCACGCCGTCCTTGAACAGCTGGAAATCCTGGGTCTCCATGCGCGCACCGCAAGTCAGCGTGAGCTGGGCCCAGGGCTGTAGCGGGGAGGCCGACTCTGCCCAGAGCTTGGGCCGAGTCTCAACCACTGTGGGCAGAGGAACCACAGGGTCAGCGGAAGCTGCAGGGGCCAGACGGCCCACCACCCTGCACTGAGCCCGGACTCACTTACGGCCGCCTCACTCGCTGGGCCCAGGGTGAGACCTGCGGAGACAGCGCCACCCATGAGGCCCCGTTCACTCCCGTCCTCCAGAGACCCAGGCCCAATGCCTCACCCCAGAGCAGCAGCAAGCCCACCCGGGCAGCCATGGTGCCGGCCCTCTCTCCTCCTCCCGCTGGTGCCTGGGTGGATGTCTGCAGGGCAGGTGGACTGGGCCACTGACCTGTCCCTGTTTATCCTTCCTGAGTGGTGGGCGGGGATAGCAGTGGTGTGGGGCCAAAGGGTGAACCTGTCAGCCCAGTTGGGGATAGTCAGCAGTAGTGGTAATCAATAATAATGGATCATTAACACAATAACAATAAAACGTGATGCAAAAAGATGGCTCATGCCTGTCATCCCAGCTATTTGGGAGGCTGAGGCAGGAGGATGACAAATGAAGCCAACCTGGGCAATTTAGCAAGATTCTGTGCCGAAATAAAATTATAAAGGGGTTGGCGGTGCAGCTCAGTGGTAGTGTGTTTATCTGGTGTGTGCAAGGCACTGGGTTTGCACCCTGTATCAGAAGGGAGTAACAGTCGAATGTGAGCCTCAGGTCAACTCTCGGATCCATATCTGGGTGGGAACCCTGTGAGCCCTGTCACTTCACATTCCGTATGGGACTCTGTACTAGGATTTCCTGTCGTTGCTGGGTGTGGAAAGAGCTCCCCTGAGTCCTAATTGCACTCAGGATGTTCTCCCCAGACCAACAGGGGCTCGTAAGTGCACACTCAGGGCTGCAGCCTTCCCCAGCTCCACTGTCCTCTGCTTCTCCACACTGCCGCACACTTCCGGAAAGGCATCAGCCAGGTGCGGTTCACGTCAACTGGCCTGGCATGAGCCACAGGAGGCAGGTGGTGGCGGGACAGCCTCCTATCCCAGTGGCATGACCAAGATGGAGCGGTCACCTCTGCAAGACCTTGGCCTCTGGCCCTGCCTGCAGATGGGAATGCGTTGCGCAATCTCAGTTCCACCTGCTGGGGCTGGAGGGTCTCACCCAGCCTTGTCCCCCCCCCCGAGTGTCCGTGACACATGGTCCTGGGAGACCACCACACCCGCTGAAGTCCAAGTCCTCAGCCCTCTCCGAACAGACAACCCCCTCACAGGGCCCACATTCCTGCCTGCACCCTGATCCCTGCCCACACATCTCAGGCCAGGCCCAGGCATCAGCGAGGGGGCTGCCACTGATGGGACACTTTCCAGGGCAACCCTCTGCTCCCATCACAACTGCCTCTCTGCCATTGCACCCTAGGCAACCACCAGGCCATCATCCCACCCAAATCACCACAGCCTCAGAAAAGGTGCAAGATGGTGAACATAGTGTCATAGACAATTAATGATCTCATACAGACCCTGTGTGCCCAGGGGGACCCTTTCCTCCCTCAGGGCCCATGGCAGTTGCCTGCATGGTGGCTGCCTATGCACCATGACCTTCAGGACATCCCCCAGGTACAAGGGCATTAGGAACTCCAAAGTGCAGACTTTGCAAAGAATGCAAGAAAGCAATGTACAGCCATAAACTACAGGAAGGATGGATGCCTAGTGGCCAGATGTGTCATTTTTATTTTCTGTGTTGGATGTTTTAGTCCTTTGAACACCCTCCTGCGGGGCCAGGGAGGTGGCTCAGTAGAATAAGTGCTTCCCTGGCAAGCACAAGGGTCTGAGCTCAATCCCTGGTTCCACCGAAAGAAAGAAAGAAAGAAAGAAAGAAAGAAAGAAAGAAAGAAAGAAAGAAAGAAAGAAAGAAAGAGAAAACCCTCCTGAGCTGGAGCAGCAGCCTGTAGTCCCAGCAGTCAGGCACCTGAGACAGGAGACTGCTCAACCCAGGAGCTAGAGAACATGTCCCAAAAATCAGAAAGGCAAGAGCAAGTTCTCAATCTGGCCCTCACCCGGAGACACCTTCTTCTGCTTCCATCCTCCAGGCCAGCATCATAAGGCCCCAGGATGTGCATGGGATCAGTGACACTACAGGGTGCAGAAAGCTGTGGTCCCCTGGGGTCCCTGATTCACCCAGCCAGGAGGCAAGGAAGCACCCCCCCACTCAAGCCCTGCCTCCCCTGCATTCGGGTCCACCCCAGTGGCCACTCACCTGCCAGAGGGCACGGTAATGATGCCCACAGGCTCTGTGAAGAAACAGATTGCTGAGGTCCAAGCAGGGCTCCACACAGGGTTAGCACTGCTCCGCCTGCAAGGAGAATGGGTGTGCGGGCACTGCGCCCACACAGTGAGATGGGTTTTCTTTGCTTTGGTGCCAGGAGTGAGGATTGAACCCAGGACCTCTGCACTGAGAAACATCCCCAGCCCTTTATTTTATGTTGAGATGGGTCTCCCTAAGTTGCCCAGACTTGGCTTAAACTTTCAATCTTCCTGTCTTCTCACCCTCTTGGAGCATGAGGATTACAAGCATGTGTCACCACATTCCACAAAGTGAGGTTTAACAAAAGGTGCTAGCATTTTCAATGTCACCCTCAGTAGCAGCTGGGGTTGGCGGGCCAGGCTCCATGCCGGGGGCAGGAGCTGGGCCTGGCAGCCTCTCCTCTGGCACTGAGGTCTCCTGGGTCCTTGCTTTGCCCTCAGCAAAGCCTTACAGGAGGCCAACTGCAAAGCTTTCAGGAAGCCATCAGGAGCAGAGATACCACTGGGCTGGGGTCCCCAGATGGGGGCGACCAGGGGCTCCAGGGAGGGCTCCAGCCCCGCCACTAAGAGCAGAGCTGCAGCTCAGACTTCTGTCCTAATGTTACAGAGCTCCAGCTGCAAGCCACAGTTCTGGTGGCCCCCGCACCAGGCCACTGCACTGGGTAGTGTTATAGCCTGTGCAATTGATTCCAATTTTGTACCTCTGTATGCTTCCACTAAAACTTTATTAACTGTTATAACCTGACATATGTGCCACCATCTTGTTCTGTATGCGCCATTTTGTATACTTGTGTCCTTTGTTACCCCTGCCCTTGTAAGCATTTTCTAAAAATTTCTTCCACCCCCAAACTGTTATGACTGTTATGGGAAAAACTCCCCCCGAGCGAGTCCAGTAAAGCCTCAAGGACAAGCTATAAAACCACTGAGTCAGCCAAGAAGCTGCCCTTGGCCCTCCCCTTGTTTAAATTCTTTCAAAAGACATACATTTCCAAACCCATGGCCAGTTAAAGCCATAACAGCAAAATGTCCCAGGTCACAGTGCCCCGATTTCTTAAACCGTTCCCGGAATATGACAACCACAAGGTTAGTCCCCCCAGTCCCCCCAGACTTACTCCACCTGGTCATCCAGTATTGTAATCCACCAATTATTTTAAAGGTCAACCTACACTAACCAATGCAATTTGCTTCTGTATGCTGCTTGCCCCCACCCTTCCTTTGTGGTTTTCAGCCTTAAAAACCCTTGTCTTTCCCCTCCTGGGCGCGCACCTCAGCATCTTGCCGGGGTGTCTGCCGCTGGGTACCAGCTAAAATAAAGTGCTTCCTTAACTTTTGGACTTGCCTCATTGTCATCTGATTTTTGAGCTACAACAGGTAGAGCTACTGTTCTGATGTCCAGGTCTGCACAATAAGGAAAGAACAGTGCCACGGACCAGTGCCTAGGACTCGGAGCCTACAATCCTCTGTGGGGGTGAAAACTTCAGGGACACTCTGACCACTGGGACAGCCACCGATCCCCATACCATCCCTGGACAGGCCAGAGATTGCAAGACCCTGCCAAAAAGAGAGAGAGAGAGAGAGAGAGAGAGAGAGAGAGAGAGAGAGAGAGGATACAGTCTAGAAGTGTGTGACTTGACAATGGTTCTTTGCAGATGTAGGCTTCTTGACAGTAGATCGCCCTGAAGAATCCAAGTGACACCTTTTTTTTTTTGGTGGTGGTGTGGGGGTGGCGGGGGAGAGCCTTGCTTTGCAGTCCAAGCTGAACTTGAACCTGCTATGTAGCTGAGGCTGGCTTCAAATCTGTGTTCCTCCTGCCTCAGCCTCCCAAGTGCTGGGGCTACAGGCATGCACCACCATGCCTGGCTTCAACAAGCATCCTTGTGAGATGGAGGCTGAGAATTCTGACACAAAGAGGAAGAGGACATGTGGAATCAGAAGCCAGCCTGGAGAGACGCACTCACATTCCAAGGAAAACCTGGAGCCACCAGACTCAGAAGGGAAAGATCCTGACCCTGAGTGTTCAGCATACACAGTACAGCCAACACTTGTCCCCTTGTACACACTACTCTCTTACAAGACAGGGTCTCACTAAGTGTTAAGTTGCTTAGGCTGGACTTAAACCTCTTTTGTTTGTTTATTTATTTGGGGGTTTTCGGGGGGGGGGAGTTCTGTGTTTTGAGACTAGTCTTTTATTTAATTTTTATTTTATTTTATTTTGTCTTTTTGAGCCAGGGTCTCCTTATGCCGTTCAGGCTAGCCTTGAGCTCATTTTGTAGCCCAGGCTGCCCTCAAACTTGAAATGATCTTCCTGCCTCAGCCGAGTGCTGAGATTACAGGCATGTACCACCATGCCCTAAATGCTTTCTGTTTTTGTTTTTGTTTTTGTGGAACCAGGGATTGAACTCAGGCCCTTGCACTTACCAGGCAAGCACTTATTCTACTGAGCTATCTCCCCGGCCCCCTATATTTTTAATAAAAAAAATATGATAGGAGAGTAACAATGGTTAAAACATTGTATATTGCTATCTTTAAATCAGGTAAAGTGTGAGATACCAGCATTTAATTGTCCAAACAATATTAACACAAACTTAGTGAACCGAAACAATTGGTATAACTATTTTAACTATCTTTTCTGTGTAGTTTCACCCTTTTGCTTCTCTTTCCTTCTATCCACTTGCCTAGACAAGTTTCTCTTCCCTTTTAAAGTTGCTTCCCATTTCACAATATCTAGTATACCTTTTTTTTTAATGGGGAACCAGGGATTAAACTCAGGACCCTGCACTTGCCAGGTAGGCACTTATTCTACTGAGCTATCTCCCCGGCCCCCTAGTATACATTTTGGATAACATTTACTCTTTTGGCCTCTCACACTAGGGAGACAACATGATGTTTACACATTCCTGAGTTGACTGGTCTTGAATTCTATATGTACTCCAGGCCTTGAACTTGTGTGGCTCCTCCTGCCTCAGCCTCCCAACACTGCTGGAATCGCAGGTCTGTGCCACCAGACCCAACTCTAGACCTGTGAAAATAAAATTCTGTTGGTAGATAGTCAGTGTG